TAACATTTGTGTCATGTTAGTTTTCTGTATGTTTGGTGGATATTCTGTCTCCGATGATAAAAATTATAGACATTTCATTTCTTTGTAATCTGCAGGGGAGCAAATCATTATTTTCCTCTCTGTATAATATAAATGTAATACTTTAGCCCAACAGAGAAACTTTCTTGCGCTGCGACGTAAATCAACCAAATCAATAAACATGATTTATCATTGCTGGTAAATTGGCCGAAGCAACGGAAACTGCCGTTCAATGATAATGTACTTAGGAAAAATAATCCTCTAATAGACTACAATATTCAGGGTACAGTGTTGGCCAGAACTACAGAAGTAAAAGATCTGCGGGTTCTTTTTTCTGATTATTGTAAAATGAGCAGACTGTGGCCAAGCAGTGGGAAAAGCAAAACGAATTCTGGGGGATGGGATCCCCAGCGGGGCAAGAAGGTCCTGATTCCTCTATATAGATCTTTATTATCACTAGAGGGATCTCCAGCAGGAGGAAGGAGGTCCTGATCCCTCTATATAGATCTTTATTATCACTAGAGGGGTCCCCAGCAGGAGGAAGGAGGTCCTTATTCTTCTATATAGATCTTTATTATCACTAGAGGGGTCTCCAGCAGGAGGAAGGAGGTCCTGATCCCTCTATATAGATCTTTAGTGGTCACTAGAGGGGTCCCCAGCAGGAGGAAGGAGGTCCTGATCCCTCTATATAGACCTTTAGTTATCACTAACATCATTTTATTCATCACTAATCAGAATCAAGCAACCAAGAGAGGTTCAATCTGATTGGTGGCTTTGAGGAACCTTCTGTATGCGAGATACACGGTTGGTGTGTGTGGGAATATCTCCCCCGAACCACACAGGGGGGGGGGGGTTCCCAGATTACCATTGGGAATCGGGGTAGAATGGTGCTTTACAGACAATCATGGATGGAAAACTGATGCCTTGTGCTCCCCGTGTGCATCTCAAGGTTTAATTTTCAGCTTGGAGTGGAGGGTTCCTTTAATCCCAGCACAGTGCCCCGTGGATTTCCGAGCCGCCGAATTTTCGCAGCTGTCATCTGTCCAACTGTCACTGGATTCTGAGTTCCTTGCGCATCGCTTATGAATAAACGCAGCAATGCGCGAAAAAGCAGCATGATAATCAGGCCAGACCGAAATAGCCCCCCAACTCCCCCCGCAGATGTCCTGACGGACGTGGCAACACGGCACCTGATGTGTTCAGGCTGACAGCGCTCATCGAATCTCTCCACCCGTGAAATGACAGCGCTGAAACGGTTCGCGAAGCTCAGCGTGCATCCCCAGGAGCCTTCGCACGATTCAGACGTCATGTATGGAGAATTTGGGGACAGTTACGGGCATTACATGCAAATTGCTCCATCTGCTTCTTGGGAGCCAAGTGACAGCGAGGAGGCTGAAACCTTCTCACATTAAGACATCATTTCCCTTTAACGCTCTGGAGCGCGGCTCTAAGTGCCGGGAATGTCGGCGGTTAATTAGGAGAAGAGCGGCGGATCTTCTGTACAGACGGCAATGTCACTGATGGCGCACCGCGTGAAAACGACTTGTTTATAAAGCAATTTCAGTTGCTTTATCGAAGGCAGCGGGTCTTATTAACTAAAGAACATGCACGTAATCCGGCGTATCGGCAAGCAAATCATACGCTCCCGGAACTTACAATGCACCTACGATACGCCCAGCAGAGTTAAGGATGAGCGCAGTGATTTTTTAGAAATCAATTTGTCGAAAAATGGCTATTTTTACCATGGTGGAGGTTTCACCAAAGAGGGAGCTCTTATTTTTGCTGATGAGGGGCTCTTTAAGGCATGTGATATGACATGAGCTTCTGTAACACCCCCAACCCTGAAGCCACTTTGTATCCTTAAAATCTACCAAAACACCTTAATTTCATCCTTTTTATTGGTTCCAGTGGCGTAACAACCGGGGGGCGGGGGGGGCGCTTGCCCCAGGCGCAAGAA